TTTGTATTTTACATTAAAGTGTGAATATAATTACTTTAATGAGGAATTTAAGTCACGGATTCAGTAATTTTCGTGAGCATTCAGTTTAATTGTCAAACAATTAATTATTTACAAACTCTACGGTAAACGCAAATATGCTTTAATACAGTATTGTATAAATAATATGAAAAATTAAAATTTATTGAACAATAAAATGTTTTTGTTGTGATTTTTATTTCAAATAAGAAATCACATAACGATTAGAATATTTTAATGTTTAAATATATAGGAAATTTATTCAGAATTTATTATACAAGTAATCCATTATTACATTATTTAAATATTATTTGTAAATTAACAAAAATATAATTAATATATAATGGCACTGAAAATAATGGTCAAAACATACGGTTATGTTCTCGCATACAATAAACTGTTAATACATTCAAACACTTGGAAACCAATAAAATTTAAGGCATTAACAAAAGTTTGTGCCAAAGAATAATTTGATTGGTCAGAAATATCTGTCAATTTGGGGTCTAATTTACATTAATTTAGTAAATCTAGTTGTTTAGTATAGCATAGCATCTAATTTATTACAAATCAGTCGATTGGGACTAATATTATCTTCTCTGACACAACACACTCTCAATGCTATAAAACATATATTTTATGTTTATTTTGTGCTCCGATTTCGTAATGACGTTAAGGCGATGTTCGCATCAATAATAAGCGGTCGCTTTGTATCATAAATTTGGTTTAAATCATCACAACTCACAAAATAATTACAGTCATTATTATTACTACATATTATTGGTATCAAAAAAGATATTGCATTTTAAATGAAAACACGTATTCATTATGAAGAAAAATTCATTAGATTTCTGATTTATTCCTCGTAGACTTTACTCCAAGTTTTATCTTTTATAATAATAATAATGTTTTATTTTCTCTCATGTTTTTCTTGTTTTGTTCGTCCATTCAATAAATTGTGATTTGAATTTAAATATTTATTTCATTTTATTATATTTCAGTGTATTTTTAGTTTTTATCTCCTATTTTAAAAAAAGAAAACATTAGAAAAAATATTAATTATGTTTTAAATCATAAAATATTGAATAATTTATTTCCAATGATGACTACATAGTTTCTAAACTCGATATGATATACAGAATTGTATCACAACTTATGGTATTAATGTTAAGTGTGGGGAAAGTTATATGAAAGCCTGGCCACCTCTGCATTTTCAATACTTTATTTCAAATCATTGAATGTATTATTAACTGAAATAAAAATCAAATACGAAAACAAATGGACTGATAATCAGATCAATAAAACAAAGAAAACTTATGAAACAATTAATGATAATGTTCTCTATGTTATTATTGAAATCATTTACATTTAATAACAACTCATAGGTAATGACTTTTTTGCTGTAAAACTTTTTCCATATAATTAATTATCGATTTTAATTGTAATTCATATATAATTAACTTTTATCTAATTTAAAAATTTTAGGGAAAGGTGTAGAGAAATAAAGATTTCTAAAAGATTTGGTGATAAATGGTGTGCATATGAGGGGACTGTTTGTGTCGTTTTTCTCATTTACGACATGAGTGTCACATAGAGTTAAAGCTGACAATCGTATAGTCGTTGCAGAGAATCAACAATTGAATGGCAATAGCGGTGATGAAGAACCGCTTCTTTTATTTGTTGTCTCTTTTGAATGAATGAGTTGACTGTTTGGTTGCGTTTTGGGTCGTATTCGTGCCAATGTAAGCCCTAAGTTAGCCCTATGTTAGCCCCGATGGTTTTTGGCTAAGCCCTGGTGTATTCCCTGAGGGGCAATCAGAGAGAGCAGAGTGACCATCAATGCCAAGCCATTGCAAACCAACTTCACTAGTGATCCCAACTCCTGCTGCGAGAATGGAAATAAACATTCGGCACAACAGTAGGCAAAATGCATTGAAATGATGGCTAAATACAGCAAATATATCGCACAACCGATCCGTTTGTAATTGTGTCCAAAGCGAGGGCGGAGAGTGTGAGTGAATGTCAGTGAGTGTCACCTTAATTGAGCTCAAGTGACGAACAAGTGCTCTAAGACTGCATTGCCTGTAATGTGTGCTATTGAATGGCCTATGAAAGCAATGCCACCAATACTACTGTCCAAATACACTGGCCATCGAAGGTCACCATTTCAGACATTAACAATCGGTCCGACTTCCTGTCCATTTGGCTTCAAACAGCTCTCAATTTTGCAAATTCTTTCAATTAACTACTTTTCTATTGAATGAAAACCAAAAAATGCTGTTTTGAGTAAAACTATTTAAGAAATGCTTTCTTTAACATTATATATGTCTCTTCCGACTATGAGATTAGATATCACATCAAAATAACTGTCATTTAATTCACATTTTAATATTTTTTGCCTAAAATTAATGACAAATTATGACAAACAATAAATTACTGAATTCCTAAACACTGGTAATTAATTATTCATTTAAATTAAGTCTTTGTTTCAATTTTTAAAATATATGAAAATGTAATATAAAGAGAAAGGAATGGACAGAATATGAAAATGATTGGTTAATGTGAAATACATGTTAATATCAATGTTTAATAACATAACTTATTAGATGTTTGAAAAGTAAATATAAGTCACCCCCCATTATAAAGACCATGGATCAGGTCCTGAGTCTTTTCATTGAGAAAATTCTTAAGAATAATACGTCTCTCTCTCTCTCTCTCTCTCTCTCTCTCTCTCTCTCTCTCTCTCTCTCTCCTCTGGCTGTGAATGTGTGAGTGTTTGTATGACCACAAAGAGGAGCACTCGCATGGCTTAGAGTTGATGTGACCAATAGGAGAGGTGGGGAAAGGGGCGCGAATGCCGCCCAATCCAACCTCTTGTATGAGTTCCCCACAGATGCACGACTGGAGGAGGAATATGTGGCAACACTTCACTCAAACACAGCTCAGAGCGAAGGCAGAGCACAGCCAACAACAACCTTGACTTCAGTTCTCTTACTTTCATTGAGAAAACATTGCGAGTAATACACAGTATTTTCGATAAGTTTTGAGCCAAACTTTTAGCTAAAGTTTGCAAAGTTTTAGGGAATAAGCCTTTGAGTTACACTATACACACGTTAGAAAACGCTGTGTACTTTACCTCCAAGTATAATATATTTGTTGTGTTTGTTTAGTGCCAGATATGGACACAAACGCATCATTGATGCAGAACTGCTTTAATAACTTCATAACTAATAACAGTTTTGTCTCCAATTGTTACGAAGACTTCAATTCCAACTCTCCCTCATCTGAAGAAGCGGACCAAATAGTGCCCGATTGCTCTCCAATCACTTCATCTAACTTTACTAATACTATCAGTGTTTCGCCACTTTTCCCAAACAATTCAAACATTTGGTCTAATAATTCATCACAAGAAGAATTTCAGGTAATATATTGTATATTATTGATATATTATAATAATCTTACTATACATACAATTGTGCGCTTATTCTGTGAATTTAATTCATATAAATGTTTGCAAAATATTAGTTTAGGTTTTCATTCAATTGTAACTTAAATAAGTTTATCTCGAATTTCTTTTAGTGGATAAACAATATTCTTAAGAAGTATTGAATGTTGAGATAAACGTATGCTTTATTGAAATATTAAAACTCAAACAAACAAATAGACAAATAAGTTATAAACCATAAGATTAATTAATAGTTTGTAGGAAACATCAAAACTCCGAGTGTTATAGCATTGCAAGAATGTTATGATTTGACAAAAGCGCTAACACTCTAAACACTCATATCTTATCGCTTCCGTCCCAACAGTTTGTCAACTTTACCATTCATTTGATTATTAATGTAAGACATCTCTCTCTCTCTCTCTCTCTCTCTCTCTCTCTCTCTCTCTGCATTCATAATCAAATAACTTTAAGTCCATTTTTTATACCTGTTTCCCGTCAATCCATTGGATCAGAATATATAGCATTTTTAACTATCATTTGGGGTTTAGACTTGCGTTTGATTTTTAACAAATGTTACTCAAAAAACAAATTTATTCCTTTCCTTAACTGATGTCCCGAAGAAGAGAGTGAACTCAACTTTAAGGTTAAATCTCCTACTCGACTGAGAGAGAGAGAGAGAGAGAGAGAGAGAGAGAGAGACCTGTGATGATAACTCAAATACTGTATGGTATATAACATAATGTAATATTAGGTAAAGAAATAGATTGAAAGGGAAAGAGAAGAGAAATTGAAGGGAATGGGAGTCAGAGTCAGGAAAGAGAGAATGAATAGAACGGAAAGAAGAGGTGATATTAGAAAAGGAAAGCTAAACGACTCAACAAATCGGGTTGTGTTGTGTTATATTGGGTCCCAATTCTCATATAATATCACAGTATTTGATGGCCCATAACGTAGAGGCCATTGAGTCCCATATATTGTAGTTTTATTACAGGGTATCTCATTGTATAGCGGAGTCGTGTTTTCAGTAATCTTTCAATACTTTAAGATATTTTTTTGTAAAATTCAAATAAATTTCTCATACATTTCGAGCAGTTGTTATGATTTGTCTGTGAAATAATTTCACTTTTTGTATTCAATTCAATCGTTAGCATTGGATTTGACCAAATGTCGAGAATCTAATGATCAAAATTTTTAAATATTCAAGAATTTCAATTATTTAAAACATTTTAAAAGTAATGATGATTTGAATGAATATAAGGCAATTAGTTAGGAGTATGTTTTGACAAACACTCATAACTTATTGACTGACAAGTCGTGATCAGTGATGGGCTTATATGTTATGAATATAATTTCAATTCAATTAACAACGAGTCGTGTATTAATATATGAAGTGCTTGTGAAGAGCCAGTGATGAGTAAACAAACGGCAGGACTAATGATATTTAACATTTTGGCTGAAAAGGCAGTCAGTGGTGAATAAAACGATAGATTCTAGCGTTCAGTACTGCTTATGATTGTGTGTCCGATCTGTCAAAGAAGTTGGAGTTGTAATCAACATAAGATGATAGTATACCCCCCGCACCACTACTTCCAGACCAGCTATGCATCACACAAACCAGTGAGAGTGCAGGGAGAGAGCCATTGAGCATCTTAAAGAACCATGCTGAGATTTTTAAATCAAAACCAACCAAATGCTAAATATGTTGTGTTTTCTAATTACACATCACATCTCGACTCAAGACATTGAGTAATATCACAACATTTGTCTCTCTCTCTCTCTCTCTCTCTCTCTCTCTCTCTATATTTCTTTACCTAATATTACATTATGTTATATACCATACAGTATTTGAGTTATCATCACAGCTCTCTCTCTCTCTCTCTCTCTCTCTCTCGGTTATAGCCTCGAAAGCATACAAATAGTTTGATAGCAACGATTGACAAAAACCGATGGTTTGTGTCCTCCGGCAAAAATAGATTCACAATTAATAACACCGGGGTTTCCAACTAATTATGATATACTATAATAACATAACTTATAGTTTATATGAAATTGAAAAGCGTTTGAATTGAATTATTATATGATTTGAATCTCTCATCATAAATATATGAGAAATATTTGTTTTTATACAAATCGGTAATGTCTTGAACAGGGATTTGTCATTACGTTTGCATCAACAGTGATATGAATTTAATAAATCAAATAAAAAGTTAATTTAATTTTCATCTCTCTGTGTCTCGTTTACAGTGAGATTACTTTCAAAGCGAATAATAGATATTGTATTTGTTTGACTACTGTTACTGTTGTCTGCATTTGATTTATTATTTTAATTACAAGCGTAGGTCGAGATTACAATTGTAGTCAACAAATCATTTCTCAAACTTCTACCATATAGTTATATCACATATAAACAGCATTACAATTATAGACAACAATTTTTTTATTAAACATTCATGACTTGTCGGGGAATAAGTTATTCAAAACAATTACAATTATTATTCTTAACTCAAAACCTCAACAATTTATAAGTGAAAGACAATATTAATACTCTTCGTTAATAAGAGACTAATTGTTGTGTAATAAACATAATTGCCATTTGATGTCAAGAAACAATTATTTAATTGTGTTGTTTTCAGGCGATTGTGTAGTTTATAAATGTGAGGCTACCATAAACTCAATTAAGTACTTCCAGTCAAATATAATCAGTATTTCTCATTCATCGCTATTGAAAGTGAATTTTGAAATAAAAAATTATGTTTCTGTAAATTATAAAACATTAATTTTTGCTAAAAATGATTAGTTGTTGTAAGCAATTGGTTGGTGTAGTAGTTGTGATGGCATTTGTTTCATCATTTCATTTTGGTCTTCATTGATCTCCTGCTGAGTAAAGACATTAAAATACTAGACTATCGCTCATGAATCACATGAATCCACAGCTTTTTTCACTTTCAACTTAAAAAAGTCTCAGTTATGGCCCAAGAATATTGTGAGACACAGACAGCAATATACCGATCATAAGAGTTTATACACATATAATATCTTAGTGGCCACTCATTTGGCTGTTAACCCAACAAACAGAATATAATTATAGTTTTTATTTATCATTTCAATCGTTTATATTTTTTATTAGGAAAAGAGTAATCGATTGCAGAAGTGGTCGGAAACTGCTGTAGAAGTGAATGATATGAAAAAGTTGGAGAACTTCAACGATTTGAATCTGCAATCGTCTCAACTCTCGAGTACTCAAGTTATGCATCACTTGTCATCAATTCAAGCAAATGATTGCCATTTGAAACACAGAATCCTAAGGACTAATCAACACTCAGAGGTATACACACTCTTTGCTCACTATATTTACTAATAATATATGAATAATATATAACTTATATATCTTATAATTAAATCGATAGACCGATGAGTTCTTTGATTCTCAACTCAATAACCAAATGCTTTACAACACTCCGCAACTGCAACCACAGCAACAGCTTATCACACATTCCCATCAGTTAAGACCTAATCCGCAACAGTATCACAATGGCCTGCCATCACATCCCTCTCAACAGTACAATAATATGAACAATATGTTAGTTCAGGACAAGATGTGGGAAGACATCACTGCCAGCATTTGCGATGACTTCGTGTCCATTAAACAGGAACCAACTCTTCAACACAATCCCAGATATCAGACAAATACCAATACCATTGAATCCAATCATGCATTACAATCAAACCCTCAACCTCTGCACCCGTCGTATATGAGACACTCGTCTAATATCCAGTCCTCCTCTCAGTCATTGTATGGCAATATTATGAACACTTCATTCAATAACAATGTTATGTCAACCAATCTGTCCTCTAATATGCCGTCCGTTCATCACTCCAATCGAGTTCTGCTTTACTTACCGCCCACTCCTCCCAACTCAGAGCCCGGATCGCCGTCCACTCAACAGCAGCAACAAAGACAACAACAACAACAACAGCACCCGCGCCCCCACCCCTCCCATCCAACTCCAGTCTCTAATCAACCCCATAGACGGACACCTCCGCCGCCGTATAACACTTGCGGCACCACTAATGATGTACTTCACCACCAAATGACAGCGATGTCACCCGCCGTTCATCTGAACAGCGCTCGGATGTCAAACTCTCACTCCCAGCAGATCTCACACCAGTCGGGAACCAACGCTCTAACTGTTCCTCAGCCGCGATATAATCGCAGAAATAATCCGGAGTTAGAGAAGAGGCGAATCCATCGATGCGATTATCCCGGTATGTATCAGCTCTTAGCCTATATATCCATTTGCTATGTCTTAGTGTTTGCACTTGTAGTGAGTGTTTGTGCTCTCTGTGCGTGCATTTGCCTCATTAAACCATTCCCTTCTTATATCCCCTCCAATGCATCCTCTCTTCTCTCTCTCTCTCTCTCTCTCTCTCTCTCTCTCTCTCTCTTCGGTTCGAGCTTTCAATGACTGACTATTAGATGAGATAAAGCCTTCGCTTTACTAATTCTCTAATTCTCTTACCATTAAAGACCTTCACTTTCGGCTCTCTCTCTCTCTCTCTCTCTCTCTCTCTCTCTCTCTCAAATCTTGAGTGGTGTTAGTCTTGTTTCTCATGTCATTTTCACACACAAACACAGCTGTCATTCGTTAATATCTAATAGTCTTCTTAGTAATAGAGTCTTAATAGTGATTGTGTTTCCCATCTCTTCCTCGTATCGAAACAAAGCATTGAATGGAAAAACAAATGACAAAACACTTAATTATATGAGCATTAGTGTAATCATTGCAAACATCGCAATCATGTCATTAACGAGTTATTGCAGTTATAATTAACTTAAGACCAAAACTAGGCTTTTAGGTATAGACTGCGAGACTCAAAATTATAGGCAAAATCATTTCAAACCAAAGGCATTAATCATTGAAAAGACTAATTATTGTACTATTGAGCAGTTTGTCGTCTAAAGTCAGCTAATCGTGTGAAATGATTGCCTAAACATTTGTGTGTTTGTGTTTCAAACCATTTATTCAAATTATGTAACATTTTTTTATAGCGATTGTTAACCATTTATTTAATATATTTATCTTTTCTTCTTCTTTCTATAGGATGTACTAAAGTCTATACAAAGAGTTCTCACCTGAAGGCCCACCAACGCATACATACAGGTTTGTTGAATATATTCATACAATTGTTTACACATTTATTTCTCTTCTTTCCTATCGATTACTATCTGTTATCGATTTGAAGAGAAAGCAAATGAATTCAAAGTTAGAGAAATGCATAATAAATAAGCGATTTTTGGTTGTTTGACATAACAGGTGAAAAGCCATATAAATGCCATTGGCCTGAATGTCAGTGGCGTTTCGCCAGATCTGATGAGTTGACCCGACACTACCGCAAGCATACCGGAGCCAAACCATTCAAATGCAAAGTTTGCGAACGAAGTTTCGCTCGTTCTGACCATTTGGCTCTTCACATGAAAAGACATCTTCCGAAACAACACAAATAATATGGACATCAAAATCGCCTCCCATTCCAACCCTCACTGCCCTCACTGTCCCATCCATTCCATACATTTCTCATCGATTTAATCTTTCACATCAATTCAATCCAACCGCTCATCCCATTGAACATTGGGTTCATATGTGCCTTATTTGGTGCACTTATAACATAGAAATGCCTTAAAATTCAGTTTTCAAATTTCAATAAGTTCTTTGAAAACTTATGTTTCCATTTAATTGTGATTACATTTGGATATCATTTGTATATATATTGTAAATAACTTATAAAATATCTTTATATGAAATGTCTTTACAAACAAATTCCATTCATAAACACATTTTTGTTGATTGTATAACACGTTTAAGTCACTTATCATCAAATATTAAATGCAATATATTTTTTGATATACTATTTATAAATCAAATATATATAAAGTTATGTAAAATGAGCGCATTTTGAACACAACCACACAAACACCGGTCCACTTATAATAATACACTCGTGAACTGATTTTAATTTAATTATACAATTTAAGTGCCTTTTTGTGAACTTAAAGTTTTATGAACTTTTATATAATGCAAACAAATCTTTTTTATATACAAATTATACACATTTTATAATTAATGTATTCCTCTTATTATGAATAAACAAATGTTTATTAAATCAAACAAACGTTAAAAGCCTTCCGATTCTAATTAAGAGACAATCATTAAGAATTGGAGTCAAATGTTAGATAAGAAACACAAATGTTTAAAATTGTTTTCTTATTTTTAATTAGTATTTAATTGTGAGATGAATGCAGTGTTACCTGCAGTCAGTCGTGCGCTCTCTTCTCAATTAAACCAAAAACAATTCAAACAATTATTCAAATTATCAATCTTTTCACAATATATAATACTCTCAACAAAAGCTATTATTAATATTAGGCGTGGGATTCATAGCTTATTAAATATGTTTAAATATGTTTAACATCACTTAAGACCACTTACAATACGTTGCGCTTAACAGCATTTATGTTGAATTAGTGTTAAATGAATTGTAGACAAAAAAATAATACTAAATTATTTACTGTTATTATAATAAGTAAATTGCAAACGGAATACACAAAACTCATAAGACATTCAAAAACAAACGGAACACCAATTTAGCGGTAATTGTCGTACAATACGGGCGCACAGATTGCGGGCTATTTTCAAGTCATCAAAAAAGTGAACATATAATTTACAATATGTTAGACTAGTTTAGAGAGAGAGAGAGAGAGAGAGAGAGAGAGAATAATGGGCTCAGAAAGGTATGGCTCTCTCTCTCACTCTCTGTGCGTGCATTTGCCTCATTAAACCATTCCCTTCTTATATCCCCTCCAATGCATCCTCTCTTCTCTTTCTCTCTCTCTCTCCAGCAATTACTTTGAGAAATACGCCAATAATAAGGGACAGAGCTATGAATTGTGCCGGTTATTAGACTTATTACAATACAATTGTTATTGCTATAAACACCGAACACTGGCACACATTTACTATTCATTTATTGCTATATTATTGTATTTATGATTGCAATTCATATAATGTCTAAAAGTGATACAGAATTAGTGAAGAAAAAAGGAAAATAATTATTTGTAGATATGGTTGAAATCGATAGGTTGTAGCGATAGTGAGATTGAGTTCTCCTCAAACATCTCAGTAATATATCTGTATATCTGTCGCACACGACCTCATGTGTTGAGCCCCCACTCCTCGCTCCTCTTCATCTGTTAGTCTCTTCTTCTTTTCGATATCTAGTCTTTGGATCGGATCTGAGCTTATATTCAGACATTAGAGTAATATATATCGTATCCAATATATTATAGACGAGAACACTATAACACTATTAAGAGTATTATTGGCTAATTGGCCGAAACGAGACATTTAGTGCCAAACTTTTTACGAATGTAAGAAAGTCACTATAATTGGCATTTTATGGCCTCTCTATAGCCGACGGCTATTTTTGACGTAGAATTGTGTTCAACACCACGACTATAGACAGGACAGCACTCTATCACTGTTTGTGTCCTTTATGTGCGTAAACGGACTTTTGGTCGTAAAATGGTTTGAAATGATAGAAAAAAGTTTCTGAAACCTAATTGAGACCAAGTATTGGTCGTCCAGAGGAATGCAATGCACGCGTTGTGCGATTGTGTCGTATGATTACCATTAAATGTATTCATTGGACCCATACTTCGTTTGGATAAATAATTGAGTGCTAAACCAAATCCTCCGAGAAATATATAATTCAAGTCTTAAAAAATTACTAAATAAATGCTGAAATAAACACTAAAAAACTGCAATTTAAAGATAAAGTACAGATAATTTTGTTTTATGTATTTCTCGAATAAATATCTTTTTTGTATTGTAAAAAACTCTTGAGTTTGCTTTCAAAGAGAAATACGATTAATGAGAAAAAGAGCGTATTTTGTATGGGAATTGAGTTCATAATTAATTATATACGAGTTCTATATTATTATTGTTATTAATTTTTCTTGTGTTTTATATAATCTGGAGATCAATGCTATTAAAGTCCTATTTATATACAGAAATAAGAATAATATATGAATTGTTTTTTAAATCAATTTTTCCGAGTAATGAGTTTTGATAAACTTTTCAGTATTTTCTTCCTCCAAGTGATCGAGTTTTGCGTTAATATTATTCCGAATAAAACATTAAAAAATATTTATGATTAAAATTATGGTTAAACTCGACATAAAAAACTAATTAATACATTGAAATAATAACTGACGGAACGAAATGATAATTAAAATCTATATGATTTGAAATCAATTTACGAAATTTCTATAAAATTATAAGTGTCTTAAAATTAAAGAATTCAAATAAAAAATGCTTTCAATTTAATTATAATACACACCAAATGGTCTGATATGAATGCTATAGTGTACTCAATGTGTACACTATTAGCATAAGTGGAAACTGTGATATGATTTACACCAAACAGTACATCAAAATTCAATTTCATTATTGGAGTAAAAACTGATTATTTGGAAAGATATGAAAAAACGTTTTTCTAATTAGAAAAAAACAATTTATAGCTTTTTTCTCGATTCAAACAGCGATTTCAGTCTGAGTTTGAATTCTTTAAATACAGAAACGTCTTAATAATAACTATTGGACTCGACTTTCAAGTTTGAAGAGATATAGAGAAAAAAGTATACAAATGTAAGCAACGAATCAATAAAAGCCAAGATTTATGTTGAGCTCAGATCTGATTTATTTCTTAGATGTCTATCAATTACTTTTTTGACATTTTATTTCTGTATTATTATATTATTTAACTTATTATTAGTATTCAATCAATCGGTAAAACATATCCAAAAAATTATTTAATTACACAAAAATATATATTCAAATAAATGTTACATAAGATCTATCAAAACATTTGTCTTTTGAAAAATTGTTTCTTTTAATGATTAAAAAAAGTTTTCCAAACTATTTTCAGTATTTGAAAAATCATGTAATAAACCGTTTATTAAAAACAAATTAAAATAAATTTAAGTGATTTTAATTTATCACTTTAGATGGTTTGGATTGTATCAGCAGTTAATGATTAACATTTAACATTAACCCAAGTTACTAAAGATTGACCCTAAAATGTTTAACAATATTGGACATCATTGACTCTTAGACCCGTTGTATTGACGGACAGACAGAGATGTTATAACATAAATGTGTGAAATGAATGGATTAAGTTTGAAATCCAAACACAACTTTTGATTATAATCTAATTAGCAAAATGTTGTTATTTGAATGAATGTCAATAACTTTATAGACAAATGAGTTATTGGAAAATTAAAATAACATTTTGCTAATTAGATTATAATCAGAAGTTGTGTTTGAATTTTAAACTTAATCCATTCATTTCACACATTTATGTTATAACATCTTTGTCTGTCTGTCAATACAATGGGTCTAAGAGTAAATGATGTCCAATATTGTTAAACATTTTAGGGTCAATCTTTAGTAACAAGGCTTTACCCCCATGGTTATTTTAGCATCCCTTTGGCCATTTTTAAATTTATTGAAATTCATTAGTAATTTTGATTCAATTCAAATAATTGTATTGTATGAATAAACTATATTATAAATGCAAATATAGTTTATGTAGTTTATTTAAAAATACAAATATTCAAACTCAATAATACTGTTGACTAACTCGTAAGATATTAATTTATGATCACGTTCATTTAAGTAAATTCATATAACTGTAAATCTTTGTATATCTCTATAGTCTATGTTTTGTTAAATTTTTGTATTAAAATAATTAAAAATAAAATTATAAATAGTTTATTATTTTGTAGAAAAGTTTTAATTGTCAATTGAAGTGATGGTTAAAAGTAACGACAATTAACTAAAACAATGCGACAAAACTTAATGAAAAAGTAGTGAAAAGTGTGTAAAATATGGGTCACAAAGAGTGCGGACGAGAGAGACATCTGTTGTGATGTATTGAGGATTGCATTGAAAACATGTTTCAATGTTTTGTTTCATTGATTTGATTGCAAACCAAATGAATGCAAACAATGATTCAAAAGCAATGTATCCGTAGTTTAGGGTTAAGTGCGTTAAAGCGGTCCATATGTGGGCAGTCGTGGACACAATGGACTCACTGGCGGCCCATCAATACGGGAACCACTCATCAACGGGTCGTCACTCAAGAGCTGCTCAAAGACGAAGAGTCGGACAAAGACTTGACAAAAGTGACGGAACTGTTCGGTCGCGTCAATCGGCAGATAATTGACGGCAATTGTGGCCAAAACTTTGCCGTAATTCATATGTTTGGCAAACAAATGGTCGTTCATAACAACGATATCATTAGTTTCCGAAACACAATCCCAGCCAAAGCCGGGGAAGTGATTAAACTCGAGAAATGTCTTCTCGTGGGCAACAACTCCTTCACACTTATCGGTCGACCCGTCCTCTCGAGAGATTTGGTCCAAATCGAGGCCACAGTACTCGAGAAGACAATGACTCACACCTATTACAACGTGTTTGCCATCCCTCGCAACCATAACTTCAGGCGCTGGCGGTTCCAGAGGTACCCCTTGTCTATGTTAAGGATCAACCGAATCGATATCTGCCATCCGCTCAATCAGACACAACATGTCGTTAATTAGTCCATAGTTTCACGCTTTCATCACTTCACAGACTTATATAGATTTAAAGGCAAACCAATTGTTATTCAAAATAAAATAAGTTTATAAAACTTACATTCAGTCAAATATTTGTCAATTGTATGCAAATAGTAATCAATAAATTTAATAAATTGTTTATTCAACACAAATATCTACTTCTTATGTGAGGTTGGATTGAATGATATTTAATTTTATGGTAATATTATTAAAACAATGACAACAATAATAGTTAAGAGAAATTTAAATTTTATTAAAATCTTCAAAAATTGATAATATAATTGATTTTCAGGTCATTTACATGAATGAAATGTATTGTATTATAACTGCAATGCAAATACAGATTACTTCATACTATCAAATGAGGCAAAAGATGACATCAATTGCAAAATGGCATCAAATTATTAATCATTTATTTGTTTTTTCAATAATTAATAAATTCTATATTGTTTTAATACATGAGACCTATCGGTGCCCACCAGTCGTGTCAATACAAAATAAGTCACAACTTTCAAGATATTAGTGACAAACATATTAATATATGGTATAAGCGATGGTTACCTGCGGTAACTCTATATTATTTAAAACTATAAACAATTCAAATCAAAAGCCATTCAATTATAATATAATATATATATTTATATAAACATTAGATTCAATATAAAAATTAAAAAGCAATGACTCGACTGGTGTTCGGGTCTCATGTATGTACTGATCGCTCATCAGATAATAGATATCTATTTGTTATCAATAATAAGAAAAAATTAAATAAATATAATTATAAATTGGCGTTAGATTTAGATCGAGTTCAGACACAAAGGTTTTCTATTTATATAACAATAAAACGGATGCAATAATAGAGAGAAATTGTTAACAATTATGACGTTTCGTATAATACAATAATATAAGCAAAAGTCTATATGAACTGCCATTAAATCAAATAACTGTTATCTGAATTGGTGTGAGAGGTTGTGGTCATACAGTATTAATGGACTCATAACATAAGCCATTATAATTTGAATCAATAATCAATTTATAGAATTTGTTTCTAATGTCTCGTCAATTGTTGTAATCGTAATAATGATTGCAGACATAAAATAGTGATTTTAATGGGTTTTTGACTTCGAGTAATGATTTCATGATTTGGAAAATAATGACAATTGTTTTAAAAGAATTATTATATGAATGAATACCCAAAATGTAATTTTAGCTATAATTCAATTCAATTTGTATAAACTATAATAAGAGACCGGTTTTTAATAATCTATTCATAAATATTTAGCCCTCAAATCTTCGTCACTTTCTCTCCGATCACTTGTGGATTGTTTTTGCGGATCTCTTCGGCGCCGTGTTCTCGATAGTCAAACGAACAGTTGTGTTCATTCGCGTACCGATGAGTACTACAGAAAGTGCCACCACATCGACAGGGAAAACCTAAAAACACAAACACATCAATACATTGCGACAACACATCCATCACCACTACATACCAATGACGCCAACGTTTACTTTACATTTAGTGCATCTGTTCTTCTTTTTCTTACTAGTCTTCGGCGGATCGCTTCCATCGGCCAGTGTTTGAGGTGTTTGTGGCGATCCATTTGCCAAATCCTTGTCAGTGTTTGCGTTCACCACAGCATTTGATTGATTACAATTCTCTTGATTTGCAGAACCCTTTAAAAAGTGAATTTCAAATTAGTATTCATTTCCGTAAATGTTATCGATTTCTATGCGATATTATTATCTAAAACACAAACATTTTGTGAGCTCTCAATTGGTTTGCTATGAATAGAGCGGTCAGTATTTTGAGAGCCAGACGGGCCCTTAGTATTGGAGTTCGGCTCTGAAACCGACATTTGGTTCTGAGAAGCAGAACTCGAAGCAGAATTGGGATCAGTTGGACCCGATTTGGCGGTCCGACTATTGTTCTGACCGTTGGTCTTAGAAACGTTTGGCTTTCGTTTCTTAGCACTGTTTGGACTTATGTTTGGCTTTTTCTCATTGCGTTTCCTTTTGTCACACATTCTGTGAAATGATTTCTTACTTCAAACTAAAGACCACTTTTAGACCCGAATACTGACGAAACGGTTTACCAATTGAATGCAAATTTGAATTTAATAACGAATGCATTCATTCATTGAATAATTTATAATTTAAACGCAAACTCATTGAAAACGATAACATGAAAGCATTCATTGTTGTAAATATTATACATAATAATCATTAGAGAGCAAAGTTTCTAATATTACAAACAACTGATATCTAATGAGTCCCGACTCACGGACTGCACATACAGTTGGGTATCGAAATGGTTGCCATACCTCTAGTTTAGTGATATCTTGAGCTATTATCGCAGATGAAACTGTTGGTGAGGCTGTGTTTAGATTACTGTCAAAACCGGTCAGTTGTGGCAAATTGAGGGAAGAGTCCACTATCGGCAGAGATGTGGGGCTATTTCTGCCGGCCGTCGGGTGACTGACCGATGAAGCGGATGCGGAGTGAGTGGTGGGCGCCGATTGCTTTCTCTTCACCGCATCCTTATAGCACTTCGAACACAGACCGTCCGAAGACGGGTTCCCATAGAATCCACAGCCGGAGCGGCACAGCGACGGGCTCTGAGACATCGAATTCGTATCCCTTTCCATATCTTCCATACGTGTGTCAGTCACTCCTTCACGAGTCCAATACGATTAGACGGCTATACCACTGATGCGGTCAAGAGTTGGCGTCAACTGCTTTGATGACAATCCTGTAGACAATAATGGAATCCAATTAAGTCACACATTCATTGGAAACAAAGGCTGAGAGAGAATGAGAGGTTTTAGTGACACTAGAGTAGGGTATAGTATGGTATAGTGTAGTCAAAGCAAAGCGTAAAAGTGGGACATTATATGAATTAATAAATTGGTTTTCATAGCAAAAGGCGAACACAACACGACTTATAGAGGACTCGCTTCCACTGAAAGGCCTTTTCGTTCATATCATATGATTTGCAGTCTTTATCTTTGAATACAAAATACAGGCATAGCTTTGAGTGAATACAAGGCCATAGAAATACGAGTTTCCACTCAAACACTAAACTATGCTTTAAAATCCATAATAAGTTCAATTCAATTATGAAATCAACGCAACTCTCATTACAAATCAATTTACAGTTATCTCACTTCAAAACAGCACAACATATGGCTATTAAACCAATAATTAGTGGTCACTAATCATTGTTTCAATCGCCTAAACATCCACTTCGGCTATAAGTGACGAAAATTAATGCTTACATTTTCAATCATTTGCATTCACGTCACTACAAATCAAAGCCAATATTTAAATGCCTATTCAATAACGAGTTCAAAACAAAGACAACAAATTTAATAGTAATTAAAGGTTTTAATCAACAATTTGCTCAAAATGTCAACAAAAAACACAAAGAAAAACATCTATTAAATTATATGATTGTATGAATCGTAAGGAAAGCAGAGATTATAGAGAAAAGTATATAAAAATAGTAGAGAAATGGTTAGAAAAGACATGAAAATAATGAGTCATTATTTATATGTATTTCAAGACATTGAATGCATTGAAGGCAATACTCTTTCATATCTATTATTTCAGACACTTTTCACGTGAAACCAAACGACGGATAAAAACCCTCTGAAATGAAGACAATTTTTGGCAACAATTCATACTTTTTTGTTTGCTATCATTTCATGTGTAATACATTACATCAAATCCTATCAAACAATACATTACTTTATAGTCATATCTATTTGAGTTTTCCAATATATTAATGCTATTTAGACTCTAATTCAGGCCTTAATTAACTAAAACATATTAAATGTGTTTTTGGTTAGAAATGAATGGGAAGTGAATGAGAAGTGAATCCTTGAAATGAAATTCAAGATTCAATACAAGAGAGGATTTCATATTTGAATACCTATTCAATGTCTAAATACTCGCTAAACACTCAAAATGGCATTCAATTTAAAATGCAGTTTAGATTCAGACAAAACGATACTTTAATTGGATTTGAATTACAATTGAATCGATAGGCAATCCATTGAACAAATAAATAGGTTTTATGTGTTGTTAGAGTTGTTTACTATAACTACAGTATATTGTTATGAAATACGCATTCAATTCAACCCATAATTAACGCTACAAAGTGTCCAATATTTACATCCAATTCAATCAAATCAATACTCATTTCATCGTTAATTCAAATCCAATCAATTGTCTGCCTTTAAACTCAATATTAAACACTAAATACGGACTAAACTATGGATTAAATTAAAATTGTATTCACAAAACATAACATGCATTGAAAAACACATACAAAACACAATCACTTCAATCATACCTTTAATTAATAGCGATTAACAGCCAAACAGTGGGACAGAGAAGTCAACTATCGTTTTGTGGACACAAATTGAATGCTTTAGTAAACGTTGAGTACAATTAATAATCAAATAAATTGCGTTCAAAGCAAATGTATTAATGGTTTTGAACGTAAGGTTAAGTGATTTGACGACTCATTCAATACAGTGTTTAACGCATAAAATGGCGATTCGTTTGCCATTCAATGCAATCGTCTATTCATTGGAGACAAATGTATTAATGGTTTTGAACGTAAGGTTAAGTGATTTGACGACTCATTCAATACAGTGTTTAACGCATAAAATGGCGATTCGTTTGCCATTCAATGCAATCGTCTATTCATTTGAGACAAACACTAACCAAACACTTGACTCTGCGATCACTCTCTCATACAATACATGTAGTGTTGAAACACACAATCAATTCACTCAACATTTATAGTGAATATAATGGCAGCGAATCAACGATTATTACAATTAGAGGAATGGGTTTGTAATGAGAAATGGTATTAAAAATGGTTACCTTTTAGTGGAGTTTGTGTGGAGTTGTGTTGTATTGAGAGCTGTGTTAGGTATGAGAGCAGTGAGTGTTAGGGTCTGTGAGTTGTAGTCCAACAGTGCGTACACAGTGTGTACTACACACAAGTGAAGCACAGCTGAGATAGTCGTCAACACAACACCACTTATTAAAGCGCTTCAAACACACGGCTCGCACACACTGTACTCACTCTCTATGCTCTGGGCCTGCCTTACAGTACAGCGTGAATACACATACTCTGCACACACTCTACACATACGCATACATACAGCGAGACTACAGTACAACCGATACAACACTAACAGTACATACAGTGCTTTAACACCAATAGTACGTCGCCTTTAAATTGCCCCCAATATTAATGTCTGTCATTAAATACAGTCGACGCGCGTTATTGAGTACGCCTTCACTCTCACTGTCTCTCACTATTGTGTGAATAATGATTAATATTAACAATAATTGATTGGTTTAAGCGATGAGACGACTATTTATTAATAGTTTGATTCACTTTCACTCATATGTCTCACTATTTTTTGCTAAACTATACTAAACTTCAGTTCGGATTCAATTTGAATGTTGTGTTGAAACAAAACTTTTGACTTTCTTTTATAAAGTTGTTTCTGAAACACAAAGTGTGAGCAAAAGATGATTGCATACAAACAAGCGATCACTTGACAGGTCTTAAGACACGACAATCATTGGACAGTTCTGTTAGCGTTTGTAACACATAATGAGTTGTAATGCAATGAACGGCAGATGCGATGCATTGGTTGCGGACCTCTATATCCCGTAATTTAGTACTCAATTGAATGCATAATAAGTTTTAGACGTCATATGATGTGAGGATTTCCAATGTTTTTCACTCAATGCCTGTCTTTGCGTCTGAAATGCGTTGAAAAAGTTGTATTTAATGTTCAAAAGTAACAACACTTCTGGTGTTTGCGTTAATTTTAAACTCATTGCCAAACATTTTTAGCAAATATTCAGTGGTTTTGAAACAAAAGCGCTTTATTTCTTAAAATATCATTAATAACTAATGTATGGCTTATAATGTAGTGACAAATGATTATTCAATTTTAATTTAATAGAAATTCAATTGAAATTAAAATTAGTTTTTTGAGAAAATTCTGTGAAAACAATATCACAGAATATATTGTATTGAATACAAGGCAATGATATGGTGTTGACTGCAATTCTGGTCCAAACGAGTACTGACTGGTAATTCTCGGCATTTGATGTAATCATAAATATATAGCAATTTCATGGATATAGACATGTAGTTGTCATATGTGTTGAATATCTCATTCAAACCAATGTATGGAAAAGTTTGTAGAAATATGTGATTCTTATGATGTGTTGATTTATGGCATACAATCATAATCTAGTATTGAATGACTGAATGAGAAACAATACATTGGATGAAAATAAGTGTTTAGTAGACACTTGTGTTGAACTTCAATGCCTTTCTAATTATAATAATCATAAGAATAATAATAATATTACAAATAATTCTGTTGTTAATTCATTTAAATCATTATTTGATGACTCATTTGAAAAGTAAATAAATATATTTAACTAATATTTGTAATGATATATATTTGACAAACACGACGACCGACACCAACACCACTCACATGAGGTATACTTATATTGTTTTACAACTAATTAGCCGTTGCTTAGGATATACTCTCGTGAACTACACCTCAATTAACGTCTGGTGAAATGTCTTTCACATTCTGTGTCCTAATTCCCAACTCATGTCTGCCTTCTTTGAGATCCAGTTATGAAAATCTCATTACTTATCACTAAATCGTTAACTTTTTTACATTGTTTTCTACGACTCGATAAGACTTTAGTTAATATATGAATGCATTATTAAATTACATTAAAATGCATTACATTACTGACCATTTGTAAGATTTAGTTGAAATTGAATATTTTATTTTCAAAACTGTTTACTTTAGTTAACAAACAATGATGTGATGTATGAAATGATTGCAACAAAAGTTACAAAGTTCTTATTAGTTGTCGATTCATTGCTATACAGTGTTGTATACATTACAGTATATGGATCTCATGATTGCACATCCAGTGAAGTCATCTTTTAATGCATTACAAGTCAATATCAATGACTTTTTTGTATTCATATAATCATTTGGTTGTAATAATGCGATACATTTATAACTCGTATTGACTTACTTTATCTCATATTTTTAAAATCTCATATTTATTTTGGTTTTAAAAATGATTTAATGTTTGAAAAACTTTTTTTTATACAAAACTCGATATGATTTCGAGTCGTAAAACTCAAATCTCATGACTTATTGAATGCGAGGATAAAAACAAAACAAATGCACAGAAAGAGTGATGTAATACTTGGAGAAGAGATGCAAACAAGTGTTGGCTAATAATAAACTGTTGGCACTGACAGTGATCTTAGGCATCGGTTTTCATGTATGGGCTTTGAGGTCATTGTATTGTATCCATAGCTGGCATTCGCTTCAAAGTGTGATCCTTTCGTCACAATAAGTTCGCTAACTTTCACTCCAATACACCCTACAGTACCTCTCTCTCTCTTTTCTTTCTTTCATTTAGACATTCAAAACAACTATTATCTTCTTTTGTCATTCAAATTACTTTCAAATTGAAGTCAATATCTATTATCTTATACATGTATTGAGTCGTGGATGACGTTTAAAGTAGTTGTCATAGTATTGTATAAAAAGTGTCTCATATAATGCGTTCACATTTAAATTGAAATTACAAAAGTATTATCAAAAATAGTATCTCTTTTGAAATTATGGTGAATAGAGTGAAATCATCAGTAGATAAACATTTCCGTTCATTCATAAACATAATGTTATAATAAAGTAGTTTATAGTAATTACTAATTAGTAATTACACGCGTAAATTGAATAAAAAAACTAATTTTAATTTCAATTGAATTTCTATTAAATTAAAATTGAATAATCATTTGTCACTACATTATAAGCCATACATTAGTTATTAATGATATTTTAAGAAATAAAGCGCTTTTGTTTCAAAATCACTGAATATTTGCTAAAAATGTTTGGCAATGAGTTTAAAATTAACGCAAACACCAGAAGTGTTGTTAGTTTTGAACATTAAATGCAACTTTTTTAACGCATTTCAGACGCAAAAACAGGCATTGAGTGAAAAACATTGGAAATCCTCACATCATATGACGTCTAAAACTTATTATGCATTGAATTGAGTACTAAATTACGGGATATAGAGGTCCGCAACCAATGCATCGCATCTGCCGTTCATTGCATTACAACTCATTATGTGTTACAAACGCTAACATAACTGTCCAATGATTGTCGTGTCTTAAGACCTGTCAAGTGATCGCTTGTTTGTATTTATCATCTTTTGCTCAGACTTTGTGTTTCAAAAACAACTTATAAAAGAAAGTCAAAAGTTTTGTTTCAACACAACATTCAAATTGAATCCGAACTGAAGTTTAGTATAGTTTAGCAAAAAATAGTGAGACATATGAGTGAAAGTGAATCAAACTATTAATAAATAGTCGTCTCATCGCTTAAACCAATCAATTATTGTTAATATTAATCATTATTCAC